AGTAATACATATGGGAGAACATGGATCGAGGTGGGGGGCAGTGTTGCAAGCTGTATTGCAACGTGGAAGATTTTTCTAATTCAAACTATTGTAGTTTAGCAAAGAGAGCTTGGAGTCATTGGGACTGTTAAGAGTAGAACAGCAGGTCTCTTTCCAGTTGCCATCTAGGAGAGAAGCAGTGTTGGGAATTACTGAGGTAGCAGTAGCAAGGAAAATAGAAAAGGAATCGTTATGCCTTTGGAGGAATCTTGCCTTCCCATGTCTTGAAGTGTGTCTGCTCTTTTGGTCACCTCAAAGATGTTAAAACTAGAAAAAGCACACTAGAGTGACATGCTTGATGAAACTTCCAGATTGATTTAGGTATTGGGAGAAATTGAAATGAATGTTTTTGTTTTGAGAGGAGGTATCTGAGGATACAAAAAGAGCGTATAGAGAACTGCAGGTGAGAGTTGGAGAAAGCAAAGAATATTTATTGTTTCTTACTTTACAGAAATAAAGGGATATAATTTAACACAGATTTTGTGAAATGAGGAAAAAATGCTTTTCTACAGAGACTGTAATTGACCTGTGGCACTTCTTGCTGTAGGGTGATGGTGTATCAAAGCATGTATCTATTCACACAGGAGTCTGGGTAAAGACATGGCAGCCCATCTGTGGGTCTGTCGTCCATAAATCAATGCTTGTAGTCTTTGATTCAGAAATCCCCTAAGGGCAGATTGCCAGGTGGAAAGTATTTTGTCGTTGCTTCTTTCTTTCTTCAAATACATGCTGTAAGATATACAGGTCTTTCATCTGGCTACTATGGTTGCTCAGTGCTCATCCTAGCTGAATCAAAACTACACTCAGGTTGCCTTTGCTCTGTTCCTGTGTGTGCTACTTGGGCAAAATAGGAATAACTCGCCGTTTGGCGCTTCTTCATCTCAGGCTGCCTTTGTGGAAATCGAGTATTGATGGAATTGTCTCACTAGGTTTGAGTGTCACCTATTTTAGTGAGATGAGTTGGTCTTAGGCTAGTGAGAATTCATAAAACAGTATGATGCAGCATTGTCAGCTGGATTTTAGGTCAGAATACAAGGTTTTGGTGCTCTATGAAGCAGTAACCTCCCTCAGCTCGTGAATTGCATGCCAGCTGCCACCCCCACCTGCCATGCTTCTTACATAAGGGAATGGGGGAAAACAGAGCAAGGTTTCTGCTCTAGCTTGTAGTCCCTGATAGCAGTTGCAAGCTGGGCTCCTTGTGGTGCTTGTCCAAAGTCAAGGTTTGCTGCACAAAAAACTTTTTTTTTCCCTTAAAATCAAAAATTACAAAAAAATATGAGCACACTGTCTCAGTGGGGGCCAGTGAACAGCCCGCAAAACCTAGAAAACTCTCTCTTCCTGAGCACAAGTCCCACTTGTTTGAGGACATATGATATGGATAGGGAAACTTGGTGAGAGCTAGGCAACACCACTACAAAGGCATCTGGATTTTGCTGCTTTGTTTTAAATCCATCTGTTTACACATAGATATCCAGTGCCTGGGAAACCAGGCAATGCAGGTCTTAAAAACACAATTTCTGCTTTCCCAGTTGTAAGTTCAGTGATACGTGCTTATCAAAAACACTTTTCTAGAAAGTTTGCCTATCTAAATGCTGCAGTATAAACAAAACTAATACTGACAATAAAGTATTATTGTGGGGAAAGTGAAAGCTATTAAGTAGGTTAGCTCTGGATGGTTTAGAGTTTTAACAATGGCTCGTAAAACTGGGCTTTCTTCTTTAGCAATGTCTAGTTCTAGTACCTGGTAATTTTAGTATTTACAGATGTCTTTCTAATAATAGCTCAGCTGTTGCTTCTGAAAAGGAAAAAAAAAGCTGGGCCTGTTGAAAGAGTTTAAGTGTCAGATTTCTTTTCTGATTCCTCAGTTTAGAAAGTAAAGTGACAGGCAACTCAGCCGACAGACTGGGCTGCTGCAGTAACCCGCTGCGGAACCAGTGGTGAAGTGGGGAACGGTGGGCAGTGTCTTCAGCTGAATACGGATTACAGTGAAACAGTAAGACACAGGAAAACCACCTCAAAAAGAAGCTAAACTTGGTAACTGGGAAAGAGCTATCTTCAGTTTTCAGCACAATGTTTGTAACACCTCAGGTAGATGATCCACAAAACTCCAGAGCTTTTTTTGTGGTTTTGAAGAAAACCTGCATACTAGTCTACATATGCAAACAAGCAGACAAAATTGAGGTGTACTTGCAGAGGTAGTTAATGAGTATTCAAAGTGTAGCCCAGTTTTTTTTAAGTGAAAGCTATTACGGCAGCGTTACACAAGATTCCTCTCACATGGTTTTTTTGGGCAGGGGTTTTGGGGTGGGGGAGGGAGGTTTTTGGGCTTGGGTTTTTTTTATTTGTGATTTTTTTGGGGGGGGGCGGGGGGAGTTGCATTTGGGTTTTTGTTTTTGTCATGTTGCCATTTGTCTCCCCCCCCAACCCTAGGGTAGGTGGCCTTTCAGCTCCGTAAATAAAAATGAGTCTGCATTGGGACAGACATATGGCAGAGGATTAAAATTGGATAGTTTATGCTATCACTGCTGCCAAGCTCCAGTTTAGTTTGCCCTTATATGCAGAGCTGAAAGTTGTGCTGGTATTTGAACTGATTCACAAGCAGGTCACAAGCTTCTGCCCTGAGGGTGACTCGGCTTATTAGAGAGGTGTAGTTGATGCATACCATTTTAATTCACTGCTGCATGTCTGTCAAACCAGTTAAAAATATTTTTATACGGGTAGTAAGTGCCACAAATAATCTTTCTCGTATCTTAAAACCATCTGCAGTAATTATAGCCACCTGTTAGAATCAAAGTGAAGTAACCTTGCACTGAAATTGGGGCAGAGCTGATTGCTTTGTCTAGCACGGTCAGTGCTCGTGACGTGTAGTATAGTGGCATATCTGGCAAGAAAACTTGTTTTGAAGTACTTAAGTGGTACTGGGTAACAGAACCAGAGACCATCTTTTTAAAATGACTTTTGCATCTTCGTTTTTTTGGCATTGCTTTACGAGTTCTAAGGAGCTCTTTGAATCTGAAGGTGAAGTTGAGGTTAATACTAAATACATAGGGAAGGTGGTGTCTGACTACTGCATTCTTGCTAAGTTATTCTGTTTAGAATGACTGATGTTTCTGATAGCCAGTGAGAGGCTCAACAATAAATGAAAATGCACTCTTGTATTGCAGCTGCACATTCAGCTCCAAAGTAAAAATGAGGTCA